AGTCGCCTGGGGGAGGGGGTGTATATTAATAGGGAACAGTGATAAACCCCTCCCCTAAGGGGAAGAAGGGGGTTGGAAGAGGAAACTTTCTAGACCACCGACGCCCAGAGGGCTGGTGGGATTTTTCAGTGGATTTTCAATGAGTTGTGCCTTCTCGCCTTTTCGGCTAGCCGGCGCTGCAAGACGGCCGAAGACACCCGCAAGACCGGCCCAGGACGGCCCAACAGGCCTCCAAGCGCGTCCCCAGACGGCCCAGGGAGCCCCAGCGCATGTGGACAAATGCACCCCCTGGAGGGCCATTTTTCGACATCCCTCACGCAGATCCTGGCCCCCGAGCGTCACAAATCGAGCCCTCCGCCCAAAGACGCACCGAAGTGGCCATAAGAGGCTCCAAGGAGCGCCCAAGAGGCCCCCAACAAGGCCCCCAACAAGGCCCAAGAGGCCTCCAAGAGCCTCCCACAGTCCTCCGAAGCATGCCCCCAGAGGCCAACATCGTCAATGATTCAATGGTTTTCGAAGGAGTTTTGTCTTCTCGCCTTCTCGGCTAGCCGACGCTCCAAGACGGCCGAAGACACCCACAAGACCGCCCCAGGACGGCCCGACAGGCCTCCAGGCGCACCCCCAGACGGCCCAGGGAGCCCCAAGATGGCCCAAGAGGCGCCCAAGACGGCCCCAGAGGACCCCAAGCCAGGCCCAAGAGGGGGCCAAAGAACGAGGGAAAACCCTGACATTCCGAGCCCTGGGCCCCAATACGCCCACACAAGGCCCCAAGACCCCCCCCAAGGGAACGCCAAGAGGTCCCCAGAGGCCCCCAAGAAGCCCAAAGCAAGCCCCACGAGGCCCCAAGACGGCCCCCAAGAGGCCCCAAAGCTGCCTCCAAGAGGGACCCCAGAGGCCTCTGAGCCATTACCCAGGCACAGGCACCGTGGCGGATTTCCTAGGCCGCGCCCGCTGGCCGCATTGTCACCAGGCTACACGATACAATTATCCGTAAGGGTTTCGCCCCATGCCGCCGGCCCCCTGTCTAGGATAATGGGATATGCAAAAGCTAAATTATCCCAGTGCGACCCTACCTAGGAGTTGGAGCCCCTAGGAAAGCAGCATTAGTAGTAACAGTAAAACTAAGCTAAAGCTAAGCTGAAGCTAAGCTAACGCTAAAATTAAAGCTAAAGCTAAAGCTCCCAGGGGACTGGGGGGACCGCGGGGCGGGGACTGGGGGAACCGCCCGGGGCGAGTTGCACTGCCCGGCCCCTTTTAAGAAAGAGAGTAAGAACCCGTCTAGGCAGAGCCTAGGTAGGGAATCATGAGGTCTGGGCGCCGCCGTGAAGCAGTGTCGCGACCTGTTTGTTTTTCGACTCTGACCCTATGAATCTGCGTCACAGGTGCCACCGAATTTCAGAAATGTAACAAATCCCGTTTGTTTTTGGACCCTGACCCTACGAATCTGCGCGATGGAGGGGGGCCCAGAATTTATGGCGCAAATCCCTTGTGTTTTTGGACCCTGACCCTGCCGATCTGCGTGAGGAGTGCCGCCGAAATGTTGAAATGTGGCAAATCCCTTGTGTTTTTGAACCCTGACCCTGCCGATCTGCGTGAGGGGTGCCACCGAATTTCAGAAATGTGGCAAATCCCATGTGTTTTTGGACCCTGACCCCGCCGATCTGCGTGAGGGGTGTGAATTTTTACCCACCCCAGCAATTCAGACAACACGCTCAAGGCGTGGTATAAATGCCCGTTTTGGGCCTCCACCCCTCGCGCGGTCCATCAACAAGGAACAGCAAGCAGCAAGAAGCAGAATTTCAAACAAGGAAGGTGTAACTGGCACAGGAAACTGCGAAGCTTCGGCCTACAGCCTGGTGGCCCCACAAGGGGGCCGGCGGATCATTCGGCCCCGGCGAAGAGCAGATAACTTCTCACGGCTACCTTCCCCGCAAAAACTATGATGAACACAATCTGCGGCGTCAGAAACAGCTTCTGTCCACACCATGTCGTGCCTACATGGGTGTGCTTCCACTGGCACCGCCTCCACCACCGCGGTCCTGCCTTCAGGCCTGCTTGCCTACATCCCCCGCTCGCCTCCACCTCCAGCCAGCGGCCACCTCCGCATTCCACGCCGTCCCCTCCACCCTCTCCTTACCCGCGAGGCCCCAGAGACGCCCCACTTCCACGTCCACACGCCATGGCGGGCAGACTCCGCGGCCGGAAGGCCGCGGGTCAGCCCTAGTCTCCCCTACAATGCAGCGTTCAGCGCGTGTGGAAGAGCTTTCGGTGGCATCGAACCGGCCTCCTCCGGGCCGCTCCCAGCAAGCCCTTCGGCGCTCCGGGCCGCCCCGGGCAGCCCCCGGGGCCGCCCCGATCGCGCAGCGGACGGCCCAAGACCGCTCCAGATCGACGCGGCACGCCCCGCAGACGGCCCCAGGACGGCTCCAGACGCTCCGAAGCCGCCCCCTGAGGCTCCCGACAGGACCCCCACGAAACAAGAATCGCCCCATTCCTTTTCGGAAAACGTACATTTTTGCCAAAGTCGCGTTCTGGGTCGGCAGAGCGTCCAAGAAGGCCGGATGAGCCTCCCAAACCGCCCCAACACTGCCCCAGAGGCACCCAAGAGCACGCCCTGACGGCCCAAGAGAGCCCCAAGACGGCCCCAGGGAGCTGCAGGACGGCCCAAGACGGACCCCGGAGGGCTCCAAAACGCTCCCAGGAAAGCCCCGAGAGGGCCACGGGAAGCTCCCAAGGGAGCCCCAGACGGCAACACGAGGGCCCCATAACAGCCCGAGCCCTCGAAGACGACCCAAGAGGGCCCCAGGATGGCCCCAGAGAGCGCTGAGACGGCCCCCACGAGCTCCAAAAGGACTCTTCAAGAGGCTACCCAGAGAGCCCCAAGTGAGCCAGGGGAGCGCCGGTGCTTCCACCTGCCTCTTTCACCATGGGCGACGCGGTGCACAGCCACTCCAGGAGCCGTCGTCGTCGTCGTCGTCGTCGGGCCGCCCCCCCGTTTTTTCTCTGGCCGTAGGGCCTCTTAGGGCCACCGAAAAAACAACGGATCCTGCTAGCTGCCTGGTCCGAACGGCCCTCTTGGGCCTGCGAGCCCCAAGTTTTCCTTCAGCGAGAACGTCGTGGCCGTCGTCGTCGTCGTCGTCGTCGTCGTCGTCGTCGTCGTCCCCGTCGTCGCCGCCGTCGCCATCGCCGTCGTCGTCGTCGTCGTCGTCGTCGTCGTCGGGCCGCCCCCCCGTTTTTTCTCTGGCCGTAGGGCCTCTTAGGGCCACCGAAAAAAACAACGGATCCTGCCAGCTGCCTGGTCCGAACGGCCCTCTTGGGCCTGCGAGCCCCAAGTTTTCCTTCAGCGAGAACGTCGTGGTCGTCGTCGTCGTCGTCGTCGTCGTCGTCGTCGTCGTCGTCGTCGTCGTCGTCGTCGTCGTCGTCGGGCCGCCCCCCCGTTTTTTCTCTGGCCGTAGGGCCTCTTAGGGCCACCGAAAAAAACAACGGATCCTGCCAGCTGCCTGGTCCGAACGGCCCTCTTGGGCCTGCGAGCCCCAAGTTTTCCTTCAGCGAGAACGTCGTGGTCGTCGTCGTCGTCGTCGTCGTCGTCGTCGTCGTCGTCGTCGTCGTCGTCGTCGTCGTCGTCCCCGTCGTCGCCGCCGTCGCCATCGCCGTCGTCGTCGTCGTCGTCGTCGTCGGGCCGCCCCCCGTTTTTTCTCTGGCCGTAGGGCCTCTTAGGGCCACCGAAAAAACAACGGATCCTGCCAGCTGCCTGGTCCGAACGGCCTCCTTGGGCCTGCGAGCCCCAAGTTTTCCTTCAGCGAGAACGTCGTGGTCGTCGTCGTCGTCGTCGTCGTCGTCGTCGTCGTCGTCGTCGTCCCCGTCGTCCCCGTCGTCGCCGCCGTCGCCATCGCCGTCGTCGTCGTCGTCGTCGTCGTCGTCGGGCCGCCCCCCGTTTTTTCTCTGGCCGCAAGGCTTCTTAGGGCTACCGAAGAAAACACAGATCCTGCCAGCTGTCTGGTCCGAACGGCCCTCTTTCTGGACGCCCGAAATGGGCACGGAAAGAATTGGTACGATGCCCAACAGCAGTTCCTGCTCATGTTGAACAGGATTCGCTGTCCACGCCGCCGCGGCCTGTGTCCACTCGAGACAGAAGGCCGCCTGCCCAACAGCGGCCGCTGTTGTTTTGGGACAACATTTGTTGTTGGACATTGTACCCCTTTTTCCTTACCCATTTCGGGCGTCCAAACTCTTGGGCTTGCGAGCCCCAAGTTTTCCTTCAGCGAGAAGGTCGTCGTCGTCGTCGTCGTCCGTCGTCCGTCGTCCGTCGTCTTCGTCGTCGTCAGCTGTGCCTCTCGCACCGACTGGGGAAGCAGGATTGGCGGCGGACTGAGCACAATCGGACTGTTCGCGGCATCCTTGTTGCCGAGGAGGTGGAGGATCCAGGGTGGAGGTGTTTGGCCGGTTCGGGGCAGTTTTGGGCCCCCTGGGGCGTCCTCGTGGCCATGGCCAGGCCCGCCGCGAAATTCTAGCCAGAACGCGCCCTGGGGCAGGTGCGGGGGGTCGATTTTGAGGAGGAGGAGGAGAAGCAGAGGAAGAGGAGGAGGAGGAGAAGGAGGACGAGGAGGAGGAGGAAGTTGGGATCACAGACCTCCGCGCCTCGAGAAAGTCTCGACGGCTGGCTCTTGCGAAGTCCTTGGTCCTCTGGAGGCCCGATTCGGGCCCCGGGGCCCTCAAGCAGATCCCAACGACCTCGATCATCGGTCCTCCACCTCGATCCTCCTCGATCCTTCTCCTCCGTGACCCTTCTCGATCCGACGACGACGACGACGACGACGACGACGACGACGACGGCGACGACGACGACGACGACGACGACGACGACGGCCACGGAGAGCCTCCAAAGGCTCCAAGAGTAATCAACAACCTGTCACAAGCAAGACCCTTCTTCGTGACAGGTTGAGACACTGCCCCCTGTGCTTCGATGGTGGTGATCCACCCCACGGGTACACACTAGTCAGCTACAACGCTGGGATCAGCGCGTGTGAAAAGGGCGGGCAGTGGCAGCTAGCGCTGTCGCTGCTCAGCGAAATGCGGGAGCAGAAGACGGAGCTCGACATCATTAGCTACAGCGCTGGGATCAGCGCGTGCGAGAAAGTCGAGCAATGGCCGCAGGCTGTGTCATTGCTCAGGGACGTGCGGGAGGCGAAGTTGGAGCCCGACGTCGTCTATGTTACAATACCAGGCATCCTGCGTGCCAGAACGGTCCATTTGATTTTTTTTCGGGCCGCAGTGTTTACGCGGCTTCGCCCGAGGGGCGACGCCGTCCTGGCCCAAGAGGGCTCGAAGACGTGCCAAGTGAGGCGCTGCACAGCCCAAGAAAGCTCCAAGACGGTCCCAGGGAACTCCAAGAAAGCCCGGGAACGCTCTGAGGCGGCCCAAGATGGCCTCCCGACGGCCCAAGGGGCCCCCAGCGCGCCCCAAGACGGCTCAAAGGGGACCCTGAGAGACCAAGAGGCCGCCAATATGGCCTCAAGACGCGCACAAGGTGGCCCAAGAACGCTCCGATGTGGCCCAAAAGCACTCCCCGAACGTCGCATGATCTCTTCAAACCAGCTCCTGTGGCAGCCCCAAAGGCCACCCAGATGGCTCCACGAGGCCTGGGAAGGCCCCTTGCGAGCCGACCCCCAACAGGCCCCCGAGAGACATCCCGAGAGGTCTCCCCTCACGAGGCGACAAAAAAGACCCCCAAGAGGTCTTCCCCCCTCCCGCCTGCTCCCTCCTCGGCTCTCCCTCCTCCCTCTTCGCCGCTCCGGGAGGGAACCTGGTGCTGCATCCTGGCACCAGTGCCTAGCCTAGTTGGCAGACTATCAGAACCAGTTGTCCGGTGTTGGGCGCATTGTAACCGGCTGTTTCTCTTGTGGTGTGGGGGCTCAGCTCATTCGCACCATGTTGTGTTCCTAGCAGGTGCGGCATGTTGCCCTCCTACAGGCTGCTTTCAGCCTGGTCCGCAGTCTCAGGGTCAGGAGTTCAGCGGGTCCCGCAGTACCAGGGTCTCCGGCACCTCCAGAGAAGGGTGTTCCGCATACCCTTAGCGCCATCGGAGATGCCATACCACGGTAGAACGGTGGTCGCGAGTGGCCTGGCGGCGCGGTCCACGCCTCTGCCTTTCCGTCGTCAAATAGTACAGCTTCCTACCTCCTCGCCCCTCCTCGCTTCTCCCCCCACCTGGCGCCAATCTCCTCGCTCCTTGCGCCTCGTTCCTCGATCCTCTCCCGGCAGCCCTATCAGCAAGATGAATTAGCGAGAGAAGCAGCATTTTGCGGCATCAAGCAGGAGCAGCGGCGAACGGAGGCAGCACGATGCACGCACACAGCAACATCATGAAAGCAAGCAAGCAACAGCAGCAGACAGCGGGCAGCAGCACTCACAAAGCAGAGCAGGTCATCAACTGCACCCGGCAGCCACAAGCATACACTGCAGCTGCAGATACGTTGTAGGTGTTCACATGTTGTCTCGTGAATTCGCGTCCTTGGCCCACAACGCCCAAGACGACCTAAGAGGCTTCGGAAATCAGCCCAAGACGGCCCTGGCAGCATCCAAGAGGTTTCCCAGAATTCCGAAGACAGCCTCGGAAAGCTCCTTGACGACCCGACACGCCCTCTAGTGAGCGCTGCGACGCCCCCAGAGAGCCCCGAGACGGCCCAGGACAGACCCAAGAGGGCCCCAAAACGCAGACGCTCCAAATACGGCCGCAGAGTCCCCCAGCTCGGAGTTGAGTTCCAGCTCGGGCAGCCTCCGTGGACGGTAGTCCACGGGCCAGCCCTAGTCTTCTTCTATATCACAGTACCGGAGTCAGCGCGTGTGAAAAGAGGGCCAGGTGGGATCGGCCCGCCTCGGCCCAGCTCGGCCCGGCTCGGCCCGCTGCGGGCAGGCGCTCGGAGCCCCCGGAGGCCCCCAAGAGGGCCCGAAGACGGCCGAAGACCGTCCAAGAGGGCCTCCGAGACGAGCCCCGAGCAGACGCCCACGACAGCCGCCCGACGGCCCAAGAGGCCACCAAAATGCTCCAAGTGGGCTCCAGAGAGATCCCCAGGAGAGTCCGAACAAGAAAAAATCACCCCAATCCCTAAGGAAAACGCACATTTCAGGAGTTCCCGTGCTTTTCGTTTTCGAAGCGTCCAAGACAACCAGACAGGCCTTCAAGATCGTTCCAAGGCGCCTCAGGAGGCTGCGCGGAGGGCCCCAAGACAGCTCAAGACTGCGCCAGGACGGCTCCTCAGGCCCCCATGGCGGCCCCAAGAGGGGGCCAGGACAGGGTGGGAGCGCTCCCGAGGGGCCCCAAGAGAGGGCCAGGAGGGCCCCAAGAGGGCCCCGACAAGGCCCCATGACGCATGTGCTTGGGTGCCCCTCTCGCAAGCCCAAGAAGCATATCAAGTACAGTACATGCGGTTTGGGGCCCTCTTGGAGCCCCCTGGGGGCGCTCTTGCGGCCCTCTTGGGGCCTTCGGGTCCCTCCAAGACAGGGCCAGGTGCATTCTGTCACAGAATGGCCTCTCGTGGCAGAATGGTGGGCCCGCGCCCGACGGCGTCCTGGGGCCCTCTTGGAGCCCTCTGGGGGCCCTCTGGGGGCCCTCTTCGTGCCCTCTGGCACGACGGCCCCAAGACGGTCCCGACCTTGCCCCAGGGACGCCCGAGCTGTTCAATTTCGATGAGCTGTTCAGCAACGGTGTGCGAGTCCCAGGTTCAGCACACCGTGGATTAATCCACGGGTTCACACTAGTCATCTACAACGCTGGCATCAGCGCGTGCGAGAAAGGCGCGCAATGGGAGCACGCCTTGTCGCTGTTTAGCGAGATGCGGGAGGGAAAATTGGAGCCCAGCAGCATCTCTTACAATGCTGGGATCAGCGCGTGCGAGAAAGGCAGTCAGTGGCAACAGGCGCTGATGCTGCTCAGCCAGATGTGGGAGGACAGAGTGAAGCTTACCGTCATCAGCTACAGCGCTGGGATCAGCGCGTGCGAGAAAGATGGGAACTGGCAGCGGGCTCTGACGCTGTTCTGCGAGATGATGGAAAAGAGTCTGGATCCCAACGTCATCAGCTACAGCGCTGGGATCAGCGCCTGCGCGAAAGGTGGACAGTGGCAGCGGGCTCTGTCGCTGCTCAGGGAGATGCACAAAGTGAAGGTCGAGCCCAATGTCTACACAACAACGCCAGGATCAACGCGTTTCGTGCGTCGTCCGGTGGCCCTTCCAGCAGTGGGTTCAGACGGCCCGGCCAGAGCGCACCGTACCCCGGCAGGGCCTCCACGAGGCCCTGAGACGCCCCGAAGATGGCCCTGGCTGGCCTCCAAGACCGTTCCAAGACGGCCCAAGATGGTCCAAATGTTCTTGCAGATAAGCCTCGGACCCTCAAAAAGAGCCCCGCGAGGCCCCAAGGGACCCAGAGACGGCCCTAAGAGAAGGCCCCAAGATATCTCAAGGAGGCCCCCGATCACAGCAAGCAAGCAGCAGAGTCAGTAGCGGCAGAGCTAGCATCATTAGCCAATAGAGGCAAGCATCTGCAACCAGCAGCAGCAAGCCCAACAGGGCCCCAAGGCAGACCCAGAAGGGCATCAATATTGGACAAACTAGCCACCGTATCAAGCAAGCCGCAGAGCCAGCGGCAGAGCTAGCAGCAGCAACCAGGAGAAGCAATCACAAACAAGCAGCCGCAAGCAGCAGCGGCAGAACCTGCAGACAGCAACGGGAATCACCAAAAGCATGAATCCACAGCAGCAGCAATTGCATGTGAATTTCAAACAACTGGTCCACACTAGTCAGCTACTGCGCTGGAATCAGTGCGTGCGAAAGTGGCAAACAGTGGCAGCGGGCTCTGGCGTTGTTTCGAGAAATGTGGACAGCGAAGCTGGAGCATTGCACAGTCAGCTACAACGCTGTCACCCTTGCGTGTGCACAAGGCACACGGTGGCAGCTGGCCCTGTCGCTGCTAGGCGAAATGCGGGAGGCGAAGCTAGAGCCCAATGCCATGAGCTATAGCGCTGGAATCATGGCGTGCCCATGGCAACAGGCCGTGTTGCTGCTCAACGAAATGTGGGAGGAGCAGTTGGAGCCCAGCGCCGTCTGTGCGATGCGAGGATTACGGCGTTCCGTGCGCCATCCAGGGGCACTTCCGGCGCCCTGACGGCCCAGCGCGGCACCCAAAGGGCCTAAGATGGCCCACGAGAGCCTCTTAAGACGGCCCGAACGCTCCAGGATACCCCAAGGTGTTGCCAAGGTGACCCCAAGAGGCTCCAAGATGGTTCCGCGTAGGGTTCCCGAGAGGCGAGCATCGTCAAATCCCGTTGGGTCTTTGAACATAGTTGGTGCTTTCAATTCCTCGGTTCCAGATGGTTCTAAGATGGGCCCCAGAGATTTCCAAGAAGGCCCAAGAGGCTCTCAAGAGCCCCAAGAGGGCCCAAGATGCCCTTAAGATGGCCCAGATGGGCTTACAATATCGCCCCGAGACGATTCCGAGACCACCCCAAGATAGCTGACATATTCTTGCAGGCGCCCCCCAAGTCCCCAAAAGGACTCCACGAGGCCCAAGGAGATCCCGAGATCGCTCTAGGAGAAGATCCCATGAGCCCCCAGATAGCCCCAAGAGGACATGAAAAAACAAAAACGAGCAAGCGATCGCGGCAGGCAAGAATCAGGGCCAGCAACAGCAGGAGAGACAAGCACGAGCAATCAGCAGCAGCGAGCGGAAGAAGACCTCAAGGCAGGCCCAAACAGGCACCAGAAATTGGGCATGCCAGCGGATGCGGCAAGCAACAAGCAGCAGAGCTAGCAGCCGTTGCCAGGAGTTGTCTGTGAATACCACCCACGGGTTTGTACACGAGTCTGCTACAGCGTTGCGATCAGCGCGTGCGGGAATTTCTGCCCGTGGCAGCAGGCTCTGTCGCTATTCAGGGAGATGTTGGAGGCGGAGGTGAAGCCCAACAGCGTCAGCTACCACTCTGCGATCAGCGCGTGTGGGAAAGGAGGTAAGTGGCAGGAGGCTCTGTCGGTGTTCCGAGACATGCGGCATGTGGAGTCAGAGCTTGACGTCGTCAGCTACAACGCACTGGCCCAGGCGTGCCAGGCATGCGAGCAGTGGCAGCGGGCCCTGTCGCTATTCAGGCAGATGCTGGGGGAGAAGTTGGAGCCCAATGTCATCAGCTACCTCGGTGGGATCACCGCGTGCGCGACAGGCGGGCAGTGGCAACAAGCTCTGTGGCTCCTCGGCCAGATGTGGGAGAACATGTTGGAGCCCGAACTGTTCTGCTATAGCGCTGGGATCAAGGCCTGCGAGAAAGGCGAGAACTGGCAGCATGCCCTGTCTCTACTTAGGGAGGCGGGGCATGCGAGGTTGGAGCCCGACGTCTTCCTCTACGGCGCTGGGATCAGTGCGTGCGAAAGAGGCTGGCAGTTTCGACAGGGGTCCTGGCTGCTCAGCAAGACGCGGGATGTGAAGCTGGAGTCTGGCTGCAGATCCGCGGCGATCCTCTTGATCCTCCTCCTCCCCATCCTCATCCTCCGTCTTCTCCTCCGCCTCTTCATGTCTCTCTCTCCATCGACGATCGGATCCGTTATGGCGACGAGGGCCGCCCCCTGCCCCCTGCCCCCCCCCCCCCCGACCATCCCACAATGTTGTAACATACCAGAGTGAGGGGGCCCGAACGGTCTTACTGTCTCCATGCGCGCGTGGCTAGATGGAGGGCCTGGCCTCTGGCGGCTACACTGAGGGGTTGTGGGCCAAACATGAGGGCCACACTCAGGGGCTACACCTTGGGGGCTGCACTTTGAGGCCACACTTGGGGGCGGTTCGCCCGCGCCGCCACCCCCCCTTTCCGATCCGCAAGTGCGGAGGCGGCTACGTAGTTATCGTGCACTTTCTGGCGGGCCGTCCCCTTCGCCTGCCTAAAGGGAACCATGCGCCTGAGAGCCCAACCGAATGGCGCATCCGCATTCGAGGGGAGAAGGAGCAGCAGCAGCAGCAGGAGCAGGAAGCAGGGGGAGGCAGGATGGATGAGAGCACGGGGAGGAGCAGCAGGAGCGGGAGCGGGAAGCTGGAGGAGCAGCAGGAACAAGAGGGTGGTGAGGTGGAGCAGGAGCAGAAGAGGGATTAGGAGGCGTTTGTACGCGGGAATTGTGCAGCAGCAATATGTTGAGCAGTCACGTGGCCTCCTCACTATGGTCCTCCTACTCTCTCGCTCTTTGTTTTTTCTCTCTCTCTCTCTCGCTCTCTTTCTCGCTCTCTCTCTCTCTCTCTTTCTCTATCTCGCTTTATTTATATCTCTCTCTATATATGTATGCATAAATACAGATATATATATATATAAATATAAATATTCATGAATATAATCATATATATATATATATACATGTACATATATGTATATACATATATATATATATATATATATATATATATACACATGTGCGTCTGCCCTGTATATATGGTTGCTGTTGTCTTCTGCCGCCTAAAGGAGGTGGGGGGCCACATGGGCAATGTGTGTTCTGCAGTCTTCTGATTCAGAGTGTGTTATAAAAGTTACAGTTGGGCTTGCGCCGTGGCCGAGCGCTTTCTTGCACATGGGACATATATTCGAGTACGGTCGCCAAGCTGGCCCCGCCTGTCATGACCTCACCTGCCAGGCGCGCCCGCTCATACCGGAGTGTTTACTGTGCGCTGTTTGTCTGGCGTTGACGTGCCCACCAGCTGTGCCGTGCGAGGTGGTCAGAGCAGGAAGCAACCGACTCTCAAGGCTCGAGTACCTCGTCGCCGCGTTGGTAGAAAAATTCCCCTAAGCTACACTGTCTGATAACCCTTGCGAAACCCACCAGCGGGGGTCGGAGCGCGAGACGTTCTGGCACCTCGGACTACAGTTCTTCGTCGTGGGGCCCGTCTGCGGTGTGATCTCGGCCACACTCGTGTGCCTCGTGTGCTGTGGGTGTCGTCCTCGGCGTCGTGATCCGAGGTCGGGGGGTGGGGTTCTAGCCATGGCGGACGTCGAGATTGCCGAGAGCCGTCGCCTCCGCGTTGAGTTGTCGCGATGACTTTAGATATCGTCGAGCGACAGACACTTGCGCATTGCCCGAATGATGGCACGAGAGCACGAATACGATTGAGGGCGGTGGATGCGTCGGACCGCGTGGTCGCCAGCATGCAGCCGCTCGAGCGGAACGCGGCCTTCCCTTCAGGTTTCAACGCGTACGCCTTCGATAATCTGACCCAGCCTCAGGACCGGGCCAGGATCACGGCAGAGGCAGAGGCGAGTGCGCTAGCGGAGATCCTGGGCGTCGGGCTGGGCGCGCCAGCAGCAGGTGAGCCGCGGGTGCAGTTCACGGGCAGCCGGTGCTCGTCTTATCTGACCCCTCGTGCTCCTTCTTCGGCGATAACGTCGACGACGTCATGCAGGATTATGATGTTACAGTTGTGTTTCGCGGGACGGTGGGATTGATTTTCCGTGCCGACGAATGGACGGCTCAGGATAAGCCAAAGTAGTTGCAGGAGAAGTTGTGTAATAAAAATCGGGAGTCTAAATTATTGCCGCTGGCCTTGGACCCGAGTGCGGGGCTCCGCGCTTGCATTTTGAAGTACGCTGTCAAGACAATGGCGCAGGCCACCGTCGCCTTTGGGTTCCCTTCGAGAATTATCGGGCGGTGCTGGAGTTGGCGCGAAGAATGGCATCAGCGCGATATAAGTTCAGAACGTGCCACAACTATTGTGTGAGGGTCCTGACAGTGGGTGAGAGGACCGCCATCGCGATCGAGCATTTCCACCTTCCCAGCATTTGCACACAATTGTGGTATTTGATCAGATCAACCTCCCGAATTCGGCAGCGGCGGAGTGGCCACGAGAGCGTTGGTGATACAGCGAGCGGTCCGACGGAATCCACGAACCCCTAAACTTTCATGTCGCACCGTTCCGACACGAGCGAAGAAGTCATCACGTCTCGGTTCGACACAGAGATGGCCGAGCGGCGCAATACCCAGGTGATCATCATGAAGTCCGAACGGCTGCCCAAAGAGGACCACGAGGCAGACCACAAGAGACAGAACAACAAGAACCCGAAAGGCGGCGGCGGCGGCAAATCGTCGTCGCCAGGAACATGACATCCCTGCGGTTGTTGAACGGCGCTGTTGGCCGCGACGCCTCCTTGAGATCCTCTCCGCCATGGAGAACGGCTACTAGCAGGAAGATCCTTTCATCGTTGTCTTCCCTGTCGACCTTCCATGCTGTGGATGCCGACGCCGCGGAAGAGCCCCATGGCTCGCCCAGGGGGTGCACCCTCCGCTGGTGGACGGCGTCTGGGCCAAAACCACCCCCCTGACGGAGGCGGGGACCGTCGGGCCTTCGGGGCGCAATGCCCCCGCAACTGGGGTGGGGATGGCCGCCAAAGCGAGGCCCCTTTCCCCAGGGGGTCGCCTGGCGCGCAGTCAGGTGTTTCTCCTTGGGTTTCCCGCCCTGGGGGTCGTACCGGGCGGTCCGCCCTCCCCGTCGTTTCGTCTGTCGCCACGGCGGGCTCTGGAGGTTGCGGAGGGGTAGCGAGCTTGAACTGCGCGGCGCCGCGCGCTGGTGGTCTCCGGCGCGCGGTCGTTGTCCTGCCAGAGACCGCCCAGCCGCTTGCGCGCGCGCCGCGCAGCGCGGGCCAGCCATCCACGCAGTTCCCCATGGGGCCGCCGTCCGCCCGCAGGCGAGGCGGCCGCGCGCATGTGGCGACGCCGCAATGGTTCGGCCGACCATGCCCCCCCCAGGGAAAAGCGCCCCACGGTTCGAAGGACGTCCGTTTTCCCGCTGCCCCTCGGCGGCGGATGAGGATCACCGCACTGTGGGCAAGCGGCTCGGTGCTCCTCGGCATGCGATCGGCGGCCCTCGGAAATTATGAGTTCGTTGAACGCCGCGGCGACGGCGCGAGTCGACCTTCGATCGCCCTCGACGACGCCGCGCCGCGACGGCCCCCCCTTC